CCCCAAAACCCCAAAACCCCAAAACCCCAAAACCCCGAAACAACTTGGGTTTATTGATATATTTTTAAAATACAAAATGTGTTTCCATTGAGAACGATGGAGATTTGAATCTTAACTTGGATCTATATTGAGGTTATGAGTTTTATGTTTTAAGTAAATGTGAAAAGATTTATTCAACATATTTTGTTCAAAAAGCAAACCTTGAAGAGTTAGAACATGCTTGGAATCTTGTGTATGACGTTCTGAAGGAAATAATAGGTGCTCAAATCTTAGAGATATTTGTGAGACTTACTGATTGATAGGACTTCTTAATCTACGTTTATTTTTAAGCCTATTCGATATCATATCACTGATTCTGCTTTCTGCTCTTGTTGAGTATTTTTGTGTTGTACTATTCACTCTTTCGTGAGTTATGGTGGATCTCTTCGGACTCTTTCAAGTGGTTGACCCTGAAAATATTGAATATTTGGATGCTGCTTTGGGAGATCTTATAGAGGTAATCGCTAAAGATTATTAAAACTATATTTACCTCCTCCAGTAAACCCTACTCTACTCCTTGGATTAGGAGAAATGGGCATTTTCAAGTCTTTTAGGACAACTAAATCTGTATCGTTTCTGGGTTTGACACCCGTAAAGGTAAGTTTTCTAAAATTCCAAGTCAATATCTCCCCAAAAATCAAAGTTCAAAACATCTGCTTTAGCTTCATTAATACCCATCTTAACACCACCCAAGCCTATACAAACCCCTATCTCTACACCTCTTTATCGGCCACTTACTTCCTTCCTTTCTCAGCTTTGATCTTCCTTATCCTCGGTGAAGCCACGGTTGAAATGTTAGATTTCTTAACCCTCTGTACTGTTACAACCAAAGTCTTACAATTTTGGCATGTCTCAGAGGCTCTGGGCTGAACATCACTAAGGGGCTTTGAGGCCTCTTCCTTTTGAGACAGGGATTTTTGGAGGAGGCTGGCTGCCTAGATTTGTGGGTCAGCGGTGAAGAGAGGTTGGGGACGTACGTTTTGAGTGGGGGTTTTGGGGGAGATTTGGAGAATGGGGCGGGGGATTTTCATAGAATAGGTTTGTAGGGGACAGAAGGGTTTCTAGAGGGTTTAGATAGGGGGAGTACGCATTTGAGGTAGCTTTTTGGGCATTTCTGGTGAATATGGATCGTCTGGTTATAGATTTTGGAATCTCAGGATGTCCATAGGGGTTTAAGAGAGTCTTATTGTTGATAATTATTTTGTGCTCTATGATAAAACGTGAAAAATACTTTTAGATTCTTGTTCATTTCCTAATGCTCATGGTTTTATCAATGAGTCTTTTTCCTCACTCTTGAAGTTGAAAGAGTCTGACTCCTGAGACTTTTCGGCAACTGGGCTAACATCAGTCTCAAGGAAGTGCTTGGTATCTACAGTCGGCACCTTTATCATCTCGAGAGGTTTACTATATCGTATAATTTAATACTAATACTTTTCAGCTGGTTTACTTTCCTTGCTATTTTCAATCTTTTTTCCAGTGGGATCTTCTTCAATGATTTTAGGCTTAGTTGTCTCTGAGCTATTCGAAAAACTACTTGACTCAGATTTTGACATCAAAGAGATGCTCCTTTTCTTTTCAGGGGACATTAGTCTTTTGAGATCTAAATTCTTGAACTTTTCTGATTGAAAAGATGAGCTTCTGTCTTGCTTGACATTACTTCGTGTCTTATAATTTGAAGATGTAGTTACTTGAGATTGAATTGATGCTTCAACGTTTGAGTTAAGCTTTGAGAGGCTATATGTCCTCTCAATCTCATCTAGCTTGCTTGGAGAAGCTGCAGCATTAGTAAATGCTGATTTTCTGCTTAATGCTGAGTGACTTTTTAGTATTAGGCTTTCCATTCTAGATCTTGACTTCCTCATCTCCTTCTTTATTTCTTGGACTGAAATATTTTCACTTTTAGAGAGAGTTGCATTCTATTGAATTATCGAAGATGGTTACAGGAAGGTAATTAGGATGGAGGTTGTTTGTATTTTTGCTGATCCCATTGAACTGAAATTTTAAGTTTTTGCTTGATTTCCTCTTTAACCTAGCATTTGTTTTAAACCTTTTCCTTCTTCTCTTCACCTTAGGTTTCCCTAAAATATTATGAATTTTCTATACCTTGGGCAGCATTAAGCTTATTGGCCTCGAGGCTCTCTTTCAAGTCAGCCACAAGTTGATTCGTAGTTTTAAACTCTAAGGTCTTAAACCGTTTGAGCTTGGAAAATAGTTTCCTTCTCATCTTCCTTCTTTGTGTAGAGCTTCCAGTGTCTTCGTTGCCATATAGGGATTGTTCCATGCTATCTGTTTTCTGTACCGATGCCTTCTTGATTCTATTCTTTTTAATAGGATTGTTCCATTTATTTCATTTCGCTCTTTACCTTGTCAATATTGAGAGTCATCTTTGGGCGTTTTGGAGCAGGCCTGTTTTCTTCAGAATTATTAAGAGTATTTGTAGCGCTCTGTAGATCTCCAATATGAATAGTGATCGGGTTTGTTTCCTTCAGTTCAGTTTCATCGTGTACATTGATTCTGAAGTGGACTTCACTGGATGAACTTGATGATGAAATGTAAGAATCACTTGAAATTGATGTTTTCGAATCCTCAGATTTTGAGAAAGTGTAACTAGCACCTGAAATTTTCTTCTCTTCTTCACTATTTTTACTAGTCTTGAAAGAAGATTTTTCGGGATTAGGATTATTGCCAAATCTGCTTCTCTATATAAAGTAATGAAGCATATTACATTAGTAGATTTTGGAGTATCAACAGATGATTCGCTTTCGCTTTCAATAATGCTCATAGATGCTCTGATGTTTTCCGTCCCGTATTGAGACCATTCAAGGTTTCTGCTAACCTTAGGAGTCAGATTAGTTCCACTATCTATATCAAATTTTCAATTAGAGTCTAGAAACAATTTTTAATAGCCTCTTTACCTCTTGGAATTAAAGAATCGAGAGGTGTTCTAGTGGTCTTCCTCTTAAGGACTGGCTCTTGGAACTTCTTCATCGTTGCATTCACTATATCAATCTGACTTCTGAGGCGACTTTTAACAACGGGTCTGGTTTCTTCTACTATACCATAAAACTATAGCAAAATACTGCCAACTTGTTGACTAGTGTTATGGCTATTAGCAAGTTTCATTTCTTCAGCGTTCCTTTTCCTCCGATTTTTGTCCTTGTTAAATTTCTCCATAATCTTATAGAAATCATCTGCTTTTGAATTGACAATGAGGTTAGTCAATTGCTCCCATTGGAAGTTGTTGTCTCTAACAATGCGAGGATCATTTTCAAAGCTCATCCATTTGTTGTTCCCTGTCAGAGTCCAAAGATAGTGTTTGGAGTAAGGCCCATAGAAGTAATCGTAAATCCTTTCCGATGAAGACTCCTTGTCTCTCTTCTTTCTCCGTTTATTTAGATTGCCCTAAAGAATTTATTAAAGCTTTCATGACTTTTAGTGGGAACTCCTTTGTACAGGAAGGTTTTAATAAATCAAGATTGATATTAACAAAACTAGAAGTTGCCACCAAATCGTGTATATACCTTTTCTCTTAGAATTGATAGTCTTAGTTCTATTCAGTTTATTTTTATTTTTGTTAACAGAATTCATTCTCTTCTTCGTAGTTCTTTTGCCTACCTGAGGGATCTTGCAAGGAGTCTACATCAAGGTTAGTCTAAGCAAGCTTGTCATTATCAGTTTGTAGTATTCTTACCTCACCATCCTTGATTTTTAAACTCTTCTTAGGCTTAGGTATTGTACTAATCCTTTTTCTCGATTTGTTCAATTTTTGGTTGCTCTCTAAAGACTTTAAGGTCTCTGGCACTATAGGAGAAATTAAGCTCTTGGCTGCTATTCACTTTCTATCTAATTTTATAAGACTCCCACGTTTTGGTGAGATGTTTAATATTGACCTTAAATTTCAAAAATTTAACCAATTGACTAATAGAAGGCAAAATTTAGTATGTGCTGCAATTTTTACAAACTTTGGCTCAGTGTCTGATTAACGGTAATTTTGTTATGAAATATGGAATTATATAGCGTCCAAACCATTTCAGATGTACAGAGCTGGAGATAATCAATTTAACTAGGAATTTTATAGCTTACACAACGGGCTTCCAATGAACGATAGCTTATTTATCCTCTATTCTTTTACTGCAAAGCAGAGCATCTGAAGCCATAGGCTTTAAGGATGGTGAATGTAATTCTTGCATAGAAGTCATCTTCATTTTTTTTAGAAATAGAATATCAATACGGTAAATAAAGTTAGGGGTTTTGGGGTTTTGGGGTTTTGGGGTTTTGGGGTTTTGGGGTTTTGGGG